CGCTTCAGCCTCCCGAGTAGGTGGCACTACAGGCACCTGCCACCACGCCTGGCTAATTTTTTTGTATTTTTAGTAGAGACGGGGTTTCACCGTGTTAAACAGGATGATCTCAATCTCCTGACCTCGTGATCTGCCCATTTTGGCCTCCCAAAGTGTTGCGATTACAGGCGTGAGCCACCGCACCCAGCTGTACTCCAACCTTTCAACCCTTAGATAGCTGTTGCTGCCTTCATCCAACTGAAGTTGACCCCGTGTGAGTGAAAGGTCTAAGTTAACCAGCCAGAGTAGATTACCTGCCATGTGGTTCTCCACAGGCCCTTCCTGCTTAAAATGTCCAGATGGTTCCATTTGAAGGCCATTTAAAGACACACAAATAAAGCAACTGAGACTGAGCTACAACAAAATCCCAGGCTGCTCAACCCAGCTTTGGGCCTTATTTCCAGTTTCCATTAACATTTTAGTTTAGTTGTGGAATTAACATTGCCCTAGGAGTCCAGAGACTAATGGTAAGGAAAGCAGTCTCAGGAAAACAAGATTGGCTTGAAAAAAAGCAACACACGGACTGTACATTCCCCTGCTTTTTGGATTTCACGAGAATTTTTATGTGTTTAAGGATCAGTATTTGCTTCTGAGTGACACAAAAAGCACAGAGGGTCAGCAAGTCCCTAAAAATAAGTACACGTGTGAGACTCAGGAAGTAGGAGAACAGAACTGTAACAGAAGGTGTCAATTTGATTACATTTTAGTGATTTTTATAGACAATCTTGAAGATATATTTAAACATGATGTTCATCTGCAGAAGGAGAGAAAAACATTGAAGTGTACTCAATTTTGATGAGGTTAAACTGTTAAAAAATACTAAAATATGGTATCTGGTATTCAAATCATTGTTCTATAAATGAGCTAAGTTTATACTTTTCTCTATCATTTACATTTTCTGTAATGAATAAACCAGTATTCCATTTCATAACCAGGAAAACATTAACCAAAAAAAAAAGGAATTCAAAGAGAAGAGAGATGTAAACAATTCACACACAAGGGAAATACAATTAGTAAACAAATATATGAAAAACACAGCCAACTATCAAAGAAACGTCACTTATGCTACTTTATGCCTACCCTAGTTAACTACAAAAAATAACATCATAACTCAGTAATGTCGAAGAGCTGTTAAAGCAGTTCACACATTTAAGTTGTTTTAAATGAGTGGAAGTCTACGAGAAAGTTTTCATTGTAAAAATGTAGTCATTGCTGCTCAATTTTCCTGTAAACCTAAAACTGCTCTAAAAAATGAAGCTTAGTAATTTTAAAAAATGTAGTTATTATCATGCCACTTAGAAGCCCAAAAAGAAAGTACTTTAAAAGCTTAGGAGGGAAAAAAATCTCCAACAAACAATTCTGCTGGAAGACAGCAAACATAGCCAACAGGAAGGTGGATGCCAGGGCGTGGGGCAAGTAGAGTTCAGGAGACAAGCAGGAGAATGTTCACAGCTACATTATTTGTGACAGTCAGAACTCAAATCCCTATCAAAAGTAGATGGAAAATTTCATTGCTAAGTGGTATAAATGGAATACCACTTAGCAATGAAAAATATATAAACTATGGTTCTACCCAACGTGA